GCAGCGGATCCAGGACCATCTCCTGACAGCGCCGACGACAACGACGACGACGTCCCCGACAAGCTCGCTGCCCTCATACATGGCGAGACTCCTCTCACTTACTGGGAAGCCGTCTCGTGCCCGGACGCGGACGAATGGCGCGCTGCCATGGACGAGGAGATCGACTCCATCCTTCGTCTCGACAGCTACACCATCGCCGACCTTCCTCCCGGCTGCAAACCCATCGGCACGAAGTGGGTGTACACAATCAAGCGCGATAACGAAGGTATTATCATTCGTTATAAGGCCCGCTTGGTCGCCCAGGGGTACACGCAGATACACGGTATCGACTACGCAGACACCTTCGCGCCCGTCGCGAAGATCGAGTCCATCCGCCTGCTGTGCTCCATGGCCGCGCACTACGACCTCGAGATCCACGTCGTCGACGTCGATACCGCATTCCTGAACAGCGAGATCCCCGCTGGACAGGAAGTCTACGCGCGCCAGCCATTGGGGTACGTTGCAGTTGGCCAGGAGAAGAAGGTCTGGGTGTTAAAGAAGGCACTCTACGGTCTGAAGCAGTCGGCGTACCTTTGGTATGAGAAGCTCCGCTCCATCCTCGTCGACATCGGCTTCCACCCCCTCGTCTCCGACCCTTGCGTCTTCATTCGCCGCCAGCCTGGTGCCCTCTCCATGATTTCCACGCATGTCGACGATCTGGGCCTCTTCTGTAGCTCCGTCGTCGAAGTCGCGCTGCTCAAGTCGCAGATCCGCGAGCACGTTCCTATCAAGGATCTGGGGGAGGTATCAACACTCCTGGGTATCGAGATTATCCGCGACCGAAAGGCACGCACCATTTCCCTTTCACATCGCCGATACATCATCGACCTAGCGCGTCGGTACCGCCTCGACGGCTCGAATCCCGTTCACACCCCGATGGAGAAGAGTCGTGACCGTCCTTTGTCGAAGGCTGACTGTCCGGTCACCGACGAGCAGAAGGCGTACATGGCGAACGTACCGTACCAGTCCGCCGTTGGTGGTGTGCTCCATGCCGCAATCATGACTCGTCCCGATATTGCGCACGCCGTTGGTCAAGTCGCCCGATTCGCAAGCAATCCTGGCAAAGCTCACTGGACAGCGCTGAAGCGAATCATTCAGTACCTCTACACAACGAGGAACATGGTGCTTACCATGGGTGGCGAGTCTGACGACCCCGACATCCTTGCTTTCTGCGATGCGGACCACGGCAATTCTGTCGACGACGGCGACTCGATTTCCGGCCACGCGGTGTTCTTCGTGTCTGGCTGTCTTGCATGGGCGTCCAAGAAGCAGACGGCGACGGCGTTATCCACTGGCGAGGCCGAGTACTACTCCGCTACGTATGTGGGACGTGTTCTCGTGTGGCTCCGACAAGTCCTGGATGAACTCGCACACCCTTGCTCTGGTCCAACACCACTCTACATCGACAACACATCAGCAATCACAATGATTGGTACTCCCAACCAGATTTCGAATCGTACCAAGCACATTAAAATTCAGTATCATTGGATTCGACGTGCTGTCCGAGAGCAGAGCATCGAGACGCGCCATGTTCCATCTGCCGAGAACACGGCCGACATCTTCACGAAGACGCTGTTTCGTCCGGACTTCGAGAGGCTGCGCGCGTTGCTGGGGATGAGGGAGCGAGACGATGTCGCTGAGGGGGAGTGATGAGATTCAGCTCCCTACGTTTCCTTTTCCGGTGTTGATCTCCGGGCGGTTTACTTACGCTCTGTAGTACAAACAAACCTCAGTCGTTCCTTTTATTCCACGACTGAGGTATGTTATCACTGTCCTTACTATTACCTATGTACTGACTCAGGTAGTTCTCTCATTAGGTATATAATATAGTCGTTCCTTTTATTCCACGACTGAGTTCTCTCATTATCAACGAGGATGGTTCATCAACTGCCGATATAAATGCACAGTCTTATATGACTTCTCACACCGGTGATTTTCAACCGACCATAGGTTGATCACAGTAAATCGCCCATAGGTTGATTCTGCCCCTGGTGAAGGCACGGTGAAATTGAACCCTTCTTAGGTTGAAAATGGGATGCTTATATTCATCCTACTGTGTAGGTTGAAGGCAGAATCAACCTAAAGTGCACCCAAATTAGGTTGAAAGGTGTTATTCAACCTAAGGCTGGTTGAATTTCAACCTTATTCAGCTTCATAGTGACAGCAGGTGTACACTGTACACCAGATCCCAGTTCCACTTTACATTTCTTGGCACTTTTTATGTACCACAAATAGTATTGTGAGCACGGGAAAGCCAAAACAAAACAAGATATAACAGATGGGGAATAGGACCTCAGGGAATCGAACCCCGTCCTCCTGCCAACTAACCTTTGCACCGACTCAAATGAGGGCAGTTGTGCGCCATACACCAGATCAAAGTTCTCTGCCTTGATTCTGGTCTTGTTTTACCAAAGATACCCTGAGTGCGGGAAAGCCAAAGAAAAAGGCGTAAAGAGGTGGACAATGAGATCTCGGAGAATCGAACCCCATCGGTCTGCCGACTGCCTTTCGCAAACCTTGCTAAGCAAGGCAGATGTGCACCATACACCAGATCCCAGCTACCTGCCTTGAGTGCTAGGTCCAATTTAGCATAGAAATTCTGGGCACAGAGAAACTGAAAAATTTGAGGACAGAATGGCATGGGACCTCGGGGAGCCTTCACATATTTCCACAGCATAAATGAAGCATCTGTTCACTGTACACCAGATCCCAGCTGCCCACCTTCGTTCCTTGGCCAGCTTTACCACAAACAAAAACCTAATCATGGAATCTTTATGAGATGTCAGGGAATCGAACCCCATCCTCTTGCTGCCATTACTTCAGAGGTAGCAAAGAGGACAGTTGTGCACCGTACACCAGATCCCAGTCTTCTGCTCATTTCTGGGCTTGCCTTCAACTCTTCCTGGAGCACAGATGCAGCAGTTGTGGACCATGCACCAGATCCCGGTTCCCACTTTAGGTATCTGGGGTTGCTTTACCACAGACATTGTGAACACAGAGGAGGGGAAAAAATATACTGAAGCCATAGGACTTCGGCGGTTGCCGGCCGAGGGGGTGTTTAATTGAACTGGGTTTGGTTTAGTGTGATTGTGATTGCGATTGGGGAGGTCATGGGGAGGGCGTGGAGAGGCGGGAAGGGAAACAAACAGCGGAGGTTTCAGTGGTGGTTTTTTGAGCTCGCAGTTTGGTTCAAAAATTATTATTATTCGCGGGGAACGGCGAACACACAACTGCCAGTTGGTGCTTCCCCGAAACACCCACAACTGCCACCCACAGCAAGGCCGTGTCTCTCCGTGTCTGTGTGCACAGTCTCGGCGTCCTCCCTGTCTCAGTTCAACACTCACAACGGTAACACTGCGGGTTTCCGTTGTACTATATCAATCAACTTGCATTCACCGTGCCTGGGCCCAGAGTCGAGTCGCCGTCGTCCGTCCGGAGTTCAGTCAGCTACTTACATGGGCAACGGGGTAGGTATCCGCTATACCCTTTAGGTCGAACCTGGATTGAGGGTGGAAGATAAGGCCTGATTTGATTTACTTCAACCGGTTCAAATGATACTTACTAGAACTCCGATTTGGGATAAGTTGAAGTCCAGTTCAAGTTGTAATTAACGAGATAACAAGTTTACTGACTGACAACTTCAGAAATGCAGCCTACCCGAACTTCGAAGGTAAGGGAAAAAAAGCTGCACCGAATGATCAGTGGGACCCGGGGAATCGAACCCCGTCTTCCTGCCTGCACCATGGCACTGCGCAAGGAAAAGCAGGTGTGCACTGTACACCAGATCCCATTTACCCAGCTCAATTCCTGGGCTGGCTTCCCCACATAAATTCTGTGCATAGGATGATGAGCAACCAAAAAGTGGGAAACTAATAGCAAACGGGACCTCGGGGAATCGAACCCCGTCTTACTAGGAGCCGTAAACATTAGGAGAAACAGGTGTGCACCGTACACCAGATCCCAGTTCTCCTACTTATCTCTGGGCTTGCTATACTTTGGGCACAGAATGGTGAACAAGTGAACAATGGAAAAGGTTTGAGTGACAACCCCAACATGGGACCTCAGGGAATCGAACCCCACCTCACTGCCTTCAACTTTTTTGCGTTTCGACAATGTAAATGAAGCAGTTGTGCACTGTACTGTGCGGCGTACACCAGATCCCATTCCCCTCCTGATTTTGAGGCCAACTTGACCACAGAAATTTGAGTACGGAGCAATTGAAAAAAAAGTTGGAGACAGAAAATGAATGGGATCTCAGGGAATCCAACCCCGTCTTACTGCCTGCACAAGTGGATGAAACACGAACAAAGAGTGGCAGTTGTGCACCATGCACCAGATCCCATCCCTCCTCTATTTATGGAGTTGCTTTACCACAGAAAGTGTGCTTGCTGAACAAAAAGCTGAAAGGAATCAGTAAGTGGCGAATGGGATCTCAGGGAATTGAACCCTGTCCTCCTGCTCATAATTTGGTTTGCAGCAAGTTTGCAGGCTTAAGAAAGGCAGGTGTGCAGCATACACCAGATCCCAGTTATCCACCATAGTTCCTAGGCCAACTTTACCACAGATATTCTGAGCACAGAAGTCAAAAAACAAGATAACAGATGAGGAATGGGATCTCAGGGAATTGAACCCCGTCCTTCTGCGTCAATGTGACATGTCTACATGAGGAGGAGCAGTGGTGCACCATACACCAGATCCCAGTTACCCACCTTGGTTCCTAGATCCGATTTAACACCAAAAATGTGAGTGGGGAAAGCCTCAAAAAGACGGGGAACAGGCGAAGAATGGGATCTCAGGGAATCGAACCCTGTCCTCCTGCCAACCAATTCACAAGCACAGGTATGAAAGAAGGCAGTTGTGCACCATACACCAAATCCCAGTTCTCCTGCTTATTTCTAAGCTTGCTCAACCATGAAAACTGAGTGCAAAGGAGCCAAAAAACCAAGGCAAGTGGAATGAAGTGGGATCTCAGGGAATCGAACCCCATCTTCCTGTTTGCGACAGCTCCCTTGGCTAAGCAAGGCAGGTGTGCACCATACACCAAGATCCCAGTCTTCTGCTCATTTCTGGGCTTGCCTCACAGCAGATGTGAGCCCGGAAGTGGTGGAGGAAAAGACATAGAGACCACACATGAGATCACAGGGAATCAAACCCCGTCTTCCTGCTTCCAGGTTTTGGAATGAGTTAGGAAAGGCAGTTGCGCAGATTCCCAGTTCTCCGCCTTGGTTCCTAGATCCAATTCACGACAAATATTCTGATAGTCAAAAAAAAAAGTGAGCATACAAGGGTATGGGATCTCGGGGAATTGAACCCCATCCTCCTGCTTGCAGATATGTAGTCGCTGCAGGAACAGCAGGTGTGCACCGTACACCAGATCCCAGTTACCCTCTACCTTTTGTGGGCTTGCTTTACAGAAATTTTGAGTGCAGGAAAGCCACAAAAAGAGAAGAGAGAACAGAGGAATGGGATCTCAGGGAATCGAACCCCATCCTCCTGCTGCCCGCCCTTCTATGCTCTGCACGGCAAACACACAACTGCCTCGGCGTCCTCCCCAACTCAGTTCAAGACTGACAACGGTAACACCGCTGAATGATATCAATCCACTTGTATTCACCGTGCCTGGGGCCAGGCCCCAGAGTCGAGTTGCTGTCCGGAGTCAGACTTCACTGCAGGTAACAGGCGACAGGTAACAGGGTAGGTAAAATTTGAGGTGTTCATTCTTCAGGTGTCACCGTCACCAACCTCAATTAGTTCAGTTCACAGGTCTCTGTTACCCGTCACCTGAACTAGTGGTCGAAATGCTACAGTATACCCGGTAGGTCGAACTCAGATTGAGGGTGGAAGATAAGCCTTAGGTGATTTAATTTACTTCAACCGACCATCGGTGCAAATAATAACTCCGACAAGATCAAACCTCCGCTTCGCTCCGGCGGATTGAGGCACAGGGCCAAACATCAACGAAACAGGTGGAGAATTAGAATTGTGCTCGAATACTACTACAGGATGCAAATCCGAGGAGGTGTTGAAGTGCAAGTTTGTGATTATGCTTCTCAGCGTACACAGCGAAGAACTTGATTGATTTTCAATGGGCCGTTGCGTTGGGGGATGAATTGGATGGATGTGTATGCGGAATGGTCCGAGACGCTGAGGAATCACCAGAACAATTTACGAGTTTGCGCTGGATTCATGGGGCTGGGCCTGAATGCGGGGGAAGTGAGCAGAAGGCAGAAAATGCAGGGAAGCGGAATGAACAGCACAGACCTGGAAACGCGGTCGGAGAGTGGTATTGGAATTCTGGCGGCCAAGCAAGTTGGACTGCGCCAGATTGACCTTTGAGGACAATGAGTCGGTCGGGAGATTCCCCACAGGATCACCGCAAGAAAGACGATTCAATGAGGGCTTGAGTTGTCAGGAGATTGAGATCGAACAATTGGTTCAGCAGGAAAGATATTATGGATTTGAACACACTGGCGGCAACGCATAGACAGTGAACATTGGAGGGAAGAGCGGGATGGGGGACAGAAACATGAACGAGTGGACAACCATCCCGCCGTCGAATGGCCTCGCATGCGGTACATACTATGAACTGCGCAAGGGTCGTCCATCTCCTTGTAATTTGCGCGGCCGAATCAAATCCGTTGAAATTGTGCCCGCGTCAGGAAAGGAAGCGAGGTGTGTTTGAGCCAGCTTGAGAGATGCCTTGAGCGATTGCGATAAATGAGCAGCACTTGAAGGTCTTGTTTTGGGGTAGTATGATTACGGAGAGGAACAGTCTTGAATCGAGGAATGCACAGTGGACGGTGGCCGGGCGGCAGCCTGAGGGACGGAATGGGAGCGCAGAAAGATGGAGGGAAAGAACAGGATGAGTGGAAGGGGTGCATGGATTATAAGGTAGTGCGGTACAGATCTCGCAGTTTAACAGCTTCACGGGGGCTGTCCTGCGCGAGTGGAGTTGGCGCTATGATTCAACAGCTTTCTGGTCAGATGAGAGCATTGCCCAGAGGGTCAAGCGGGTTTGGGTTGAATTGCTGTTGAACGGTGAACAGCTGTGTTGAACTGCGCGGGAAAGAGCTGTCAAGAGCGAGGACGAGAAGAGAGGGAGAAGCAAGGGGATATGTCTACATGGGGATTGAACCAAAGAAACACCAACGAACGAGGGCCATTTCGTTAAAGAACGGTTAATATGGGATAGGTTGTAATTAACGAGATAACAACTTTTGCTTCCATCTTTTGAAACGAGTCAACGGAAGAAAGGCAGGTGTGCACTGTACACCAGACCTCAACTCTCCGTATTCCTGGGCTGCTTTACCAGAAAATTGTGAGCACGGCCTTTGAGCACAGTGGAAAAAAGCAACTGAATTTCGCAAATGGAAATGGGATCGCGGGGAGTCGAACCCCATCCTCCTGCCTGCAATGTGGCGGTGGTTCAGAGAAAGCAGGTGTGCACCGTACACCAGATCTCAGCTCGCTAGCTTGGTTCCTAGGGCGACTTGACCACAGAAAACTGAGCGCAGAAGGCCCCCCAAAAAATTGAGGACATAACAGCATGGGATCTCAGGGTCCAGGCAAGGTCCAGGGAATCAAGCCCCATCTTCCTGCTGAAAACTTCTCTACATGAAAGGCAGATGTGCACCATACACCAGATCCCAGCTCTACTCCCATTCTAAGGTTTGTTGTACCACAGAAAAAACTCCGGGCACAGAGGAGCCAACCAAAAAAACAGGAATCAGCGCTACAGCAAGTGGCGAATGGGATCTCAGGGAATCAAACCCTGTTCTCCTGCTTGCAATGTGGTTTATTGACAGGATAAAAAAGGCAGTTGTGCACCATACACCAAAAACTGAGCGCAGAAGGCCCCCCAAAAATTGAGGACAGAACGGCATGACATGTCAGGGAATTGAACCCCGTCCTCCTGCTTGCAATCCAGGGGCATCTACCAAAGGAAAGGCAGATGTGCACTGTACACCAGATCCCAATTCCCCTCCTTGCATCCTAAGCTAGTTTCACCACCGAAAATCCTGCCGGAAGTAAAAAAAAAAGTGCGTGGGCAAAGAATATGAATGGGATCTCGGGGAATCTCACCCCATCTTCCTGCTGACAAACACTGTGAGGTTGTAAAGAAGGCAGGTGTGCACCGTACACCAGGTCCCGGTTCCCACTTTAGGTATCTGGGCCAGCTTTACCCCCAAAAGTTCTGCCAGAAGTTTTTTTTTAAAAGAGCGTCTACGCGAGCTTCATGGGACCTCGGGGAATTGAACCCCATCCCCCTGCCTTCAACTCTTCCTGGAGCACAGATGAAGCAGTTGTGGACCATACACCAGATCCCATTTCCAACCCAATTCTTAAGCTCTCTTGACCACGAAGTTTGGCAGCACAGAAGTCAGAAAAAGACATCCACCTATGGTCAAGTGAGATCTCAGGGAATCGAACCCCGTCCTCTTGCTCGCAACAGCTCGCATATGCACCAGTAAGAACAGATGTGCACCATACACCAGATCCCAATTACCCACCTGGGTTCCTTGGCCGACTTTACCACAGAAATTTGAATACAGGGCAAGGGGAAAAAAATATACTCGAGACAGCCATGGGACCTCGAGGAATTGAACCCCTCGCATATGCACCAGTAAGAGCAGCTGTGCACCATACACCAGATCCCATTTCCAACCCAATTCTTAAGCTCCCTTGACCACGAAGTTTGGCAGTACAGAAGTTAAAAAAAAGGCATTGCTGAGAGTTCATAGGACCGCAGGGAATCGAACCCCGTCTCACTGCCTTGAACTCCTCCAGCATTCAGGCTTTTCTATTAGAAGCAGTGGTGCACCGTACACCAGATCCCAGTTCTCCTACATATTCCTAGGCTTGCTTCACCAAAGACATTGTGGGCACAAGGGAGCCCACCAAAACAGAGGAAGCTGGAAATGATGAATGGGATTTCAGGGAATCGAACCCCGTCTTCCTGCTTGCACCGGCACATCAATGTTAAGGAAAGGCAAGTGTGCACCATACACCAGATCCTGGTCCTCATTGCCTATTTCTCCGCCAGCTTTACCCCAAAAGTTCTGCCAGAAGTCAAAGAAAAAGTGCGCGGGCAAAGAATATGAATGGGATCTCGGGGAATCGAACCCCGTCTGCCTGCTTCCCCCTCTTCTATGCTCTGCACGGCAAACACACAACTGCCAGTTGGTGCTTCCCCAAAACACACACAGCATGCCCCACTCTCTCGGTGTTCTCCCCAACTTAGTTCAACTGTTCAACAGTAACACCGCTGTGCGATATCAATCGACTTGCATTCACTGTGCCTGGGCCCAGAGTTGAGTCGCCGTCGTCCGTCCAGAGTCAGACTTCAGTCAGCTGTATATTGGCTGGGTGGTAACGGGGTAGGTATCCGCCATACCCTGTAGTCGGTTGAATCCAGGTGGAAGATACAGCCGTTTGCATAAGTCCGTGAAAACATGTTTTTTTATTTTTCTGTCACGTGTGCCTGGGAAAGTGCCGTAACACGAGCGGCACACTTGTGCCTCTTTGCTTTCGACGTCCACCACCTATCCCACAACCATTCAACCCCATCCAAAGTCTCTCTGATCATTCTCTCTGTTGGATCTCGGTCTCTTCTTACCCTCCCCACACTTCAGTCAACCCAAAATTCACCCCAAGTTCGGCGCTGTCGGGCGACTCGGTCGGCTACTGGAAACAGGCCATTGGATTGCCTTTCTCTGCGGATTATTCGGGCCTCAGCTGCAGCGTGATATCCCGGTCTCAAGGTCCGTGCACGACATGGGGGTATAAATGCAGACCGCGGAGGCTAGAATAACCTGTATTCTGACATGTCTGGTGGTCGCCGCAGTCTGCACACACCTCTCGCCGCTGCCCAGGGCAGCGCATTCCACGAAATCATTGTTGTACCGACCTTTGTCCCCCACCTAGCCCAACCATACCAGATTCCCGGCACCGACAACACGATCAATCCTATCGTTCCCAATGGCAAGCCTTTCTACCATTTTGTTTCTCTTTCTCACTCTCTCCCAGCCACTGATGCTGGAGCGAACCCTG